TGGAGTTCAAGGACTCAGAGTGTCTGAAAGGCAAACCAAGCCATAGATCACATGGGCCATCAAATACGCACTGCAACACTGGGGCAAGGAGATAAAAGCAACTCCCTATTAACCAGTCCAAACCCACACCCTGTGCAGCTTTCTCTCAGGGGAAATAGCTGTTTCTACTCTGTATCCACCTCATCACCAACAACACTACTTTCTTTCACAATGGTTGCTAATTGTTGTGAAGTATCAGGGCTCCTTGTTTGCAATCCCAGAACCACACCAAGGCAGTAAGTCAACTATGAGTCCCTGGTTCCCAAGATGGCCAGTTACCACAAAGGGAGTTAACACAATTTTCAAAACAAGATTATTAATCTCCAGTTGAAAAATAACATCACTGCCTTGCAGAACTTTTAAAGGAGGGCTATACAAGAGCCAGAAAACACCACCGGTGGCCTGCAGGGAGAGCTGGGCGGCTGCAGGCCAAGAGTGGAACAGAGACTTTTCATTGTATACCCTTTGCACCTTCTTGAGTTTTGAATTGTGAATATATTACCTAGTCAGAAAAATAAAATTAGAGGAAACAAGGCGTGGAAAAGTTTTGTGAAATTAGGTATACTAATATCCAGGTGTTAAAAGTCATTATTTTCCTCTTTTCATGTGTCCATTTTTACTGACCACCATGAAAATAAGGTAATACAAAATGTTTTAAATGATGAACAAAGAAAACAACTGAGGAATACTACTTGGCCATAAAAGAGAACATTGTACCCTTGGCAACAGTATGGATGGAGCTGGAGTACATTATCCTAAGTAAAATAAGCCAGTCAGAGAAAGAGAAATGCCATATGATTTCACGCCTATTTGGAATTGAATGAACAAACTGAACTAACAAGGAAAATGGGGACAGACTCATAGATGGAGAGCAGGGCGACAGCTAGTAGGGGAGAGGTGAGCGGGTGGAGGGATTGAGCAAAAAGGAAGAAGTGACTCATGGACACGGGCAACAGTGTGGTGACTGCTGGAGGGACGGTGGTGTAAGGGAACTAAATGGGAATGGAAAAAATACAATAAAACTAAGTTTAAAAAAATTTTTTAAATGATGAACAAAGGGCCCTAGGAATAAAACTACTTGTCTGAACTTCACGGTGAAGCTTTAAAACAACAACAACAACAACAACAACAACAAAAAAAAACAAGGTTTCAATGAGGCCTACAACAATGCAGTCTTTATCTTTCCAATATCAATGTAGCATGTCATGTAGCCTCAGTCTAAGAAGGCACTCAGAGAAAATATGTCAAAATAACAGACCAATAAAATAGGCACCATTTGTAAGCATGAAGTCATCTTTGTTGTAAGCTAAACAGTTGTATAAATTGTCTAAAAACTTTCAAACTCTCCTTTTACAGTACATACAAAAACCACAGCAATTCAGTCTGGCACAAATTATTTTAAGGCAATTGACCAAATGTATACTAAAACAATAAAGTATAATACTTGAAATGTAATTACTCCCTTGAAACAGCAACTCCATTTCTTGGAATTGTTTTAAGGACATCCCTGAATAACTGAATATACGTGCAAAATATATGTACATGTTTATGTTGACCACGGCACCATTTCTAACCTCTTACATACTCATCAATAAGGGACCCATTAGATTATGGCACATCTCTACACAATGGGAAATTAAAGAATCATTAGAAGAGCAATACATCTCTAGGTATTTACCTATGGGAAGATGTTCATGACATTTTGTTGAGTGGGGAAAAAAAACCCAAAAAACAGTCTACCAAACAGAAAAGTGACTATGGAAAAATTTGCAGAGAAAGATGTGGGAGAGACTGTGTAAAGTCAGGATTAAAGCGTGAGCTTTAGTGTGCAACAGGTCAGTGTTTGAATTTCTGTTCTGCCACTTGCTGTAAAATTTTGAGAAAGTTACCTAAGCCATAACTTCTATAAAATGGAGTTAATAACAAGACCTACTTTAAAGAACTTAGGACTAAATAAGCTAATAAATGTTCATGCTTAGCCTAGCGCAAAATGTATAATAAAAACTCAGGAAATGCAAGCAATTCTAATCTCTGAGAGTAGGCTTGAAAGTGGTTTTTTGGCTTTCTTTGGCCTTTTTAATACATGCATGTATTTGGTTTATTATCAAGTGGGGAGATGGGAATAAGGCTATTTTTTTCTTTGCAGAAAATGTCTAGCAGCTTGATTTCAGCTTAAGTGTCTTAGGAAGACAGGCTACTTATCTGGAAAAAAACCTACAAAGGTCACAGACAAGAAACATGAACAAATGTATGCCTGCCCTGAATGCAAATTGACGCCATGCCCTGTCATTTAATGATCGAAACAGGCAAACAAAGAAAGCATTTATCAAAGAGGAAAAAGAGGGAAAGAAATCTCTTTTTGTATCCAGTTGTGAGACATTCATAGAATACATTCATAAAAAATATATTTGAGTCTAGAAGACAATTCTCATTCAGAAGCAATGTGGGTCTGGGGTTTTGTTGTATTTATTAGTCACAATTCACAGTATATCAAGAGTTTAATGTGTACTCCTTTTATCCTCCAAATCACTTTATGATGAATAGGTATTAGCCCTATTTTAAAAATAAGTATGGAAGGTTTAAAGAAATTAATTTGCCCAAGATCACACAGCAATTAAGTAGAATAGTCAGGATTCAAAACCAGGTTTGCTTTATTTAAAACCCACATATAAACTGATTTTAAAAACATATATATGCCTCGACTGGTATGGCTCAGAGGATTGACTGCCAGCCCAAGAACCAAAGGGTCGCTGGTTCGACTTCCAGTCAGGGCACATGGCTGGGTTGCGGGCCAAGTTCCCAATGAGGGGCACATGAGAAGCAACCACATGTTGATGTTTCCCTCTCTTTTTCCCTCCCTTCCCCTCTCTCTAAAAATAAATAAATAAAATCTTAAAAAAAAAAACAACCCACATATACATGTATATACATTGTATGTCAATATCTGCATAGATTAAAACAATTCAAGCTGCCTGGGTGAGTCCACAGTGAACGAGGACATTTTCCCCCTTCCCCTGGGAGAAAGTCAATGCATATGCAAGCAGTAATGTATCTGTATTGTTCCTGAACATTTTTAACTCAAGTGGAAGTACACTATTCACCATTCTCCATCTTACTTGATAGATCTTGGAGGCAATTCCATGAGCCTTTAAAATAAGTTACCCAGATGGTCATCTTATAATGTATTTAATTAGTCCCTGGCTGAGGGACCTTATGATGGTTTCTGGTCTTTTGCTATTGCAAACAATGCTGCAGTGAATATCTTAAACATAGATTTTTAGCTACAGGGGGGAGTAATTAGTAGGACTCATTCCTAGACATGTAAATGCATGCATGTTCCTTTTCGGACAGAGGGCGCCATCTTACCCCCTCCCCGGGGAAGTACCATTTAGCCTCTACCAGGGTACCCCACTGTCCACACAGCGATGGCACACAGAGCTCATGCTCTGAACCACTGCTGAGCTTTGAAGCTGGGAGAGCCTTCCTGCCAGGAACTTCTCATTCCATGTACTAATCCAGGAAAGAAATGAAGTTGCTTCTCTGCTAAAAATTGATCCTTATTAAGAGGCTTAATCAACCAAATACAATATTTGGCCCTAGATTGGGACCGTTTTTTTTTTTTAATCTTGATTCAAATAAACCAACTGTTAAAACAAAGTGTGAGGCCTTGGCCAGGTATATCAGTTGGTCAGAGCATCATCCTGATATTCCAAGGTTGTAGGTTCAATCACCGACCAGGGCACATACAAGAATCAACCAATGAGTGCATAAGAAAGTCGAACAACAAAGTGATCTCTCTCTCTCTCTCTCTCTCTCTCTCTCAAACAGATAAATTTAAAAAGTTTTAAATGTATGACACAATCAAGGATATTTGAATGCTGGCTATTAAGGAATTGTTACTTTTTTTAGGTATGAAAATTGTATTTTTAAAAGAAGTTTCTTTTTTAAGATTTTATTTTATTTTTTTATTTTTAGAGAGAGGGGAATGGAGGGAGAAGAGGGAGATAAACATTTATGTGCGAAAGAAACATTTACTGGGTGCCTCTTGCACACCCCCAACGGGGGACCTGGCTGGCAACCCAGGCATGTGCCCTGACCTGGAACTGAACTGGTGACCTTTTGGTTTACAGCACAACGCCCACACCACTAAGCCACGCTGGTCAGGGCTAAAAGAAAGTTGTTACTTTGAGATTCATACCAAAGCATTTTCAGATAAAGTTATAGGCTGTCTGGGATCAACATAATCAAGGGTAGGCTGGGGTGGGGTAGATAGGAGGTTATAGATCAAACAATTACCACATGCTGATAACTGCTGCAGCAGGGTAATGGGTTCACGGTTCATTCTACTTTCATGTATGTTTGAGATTTTCCATAGTGAAAAAAACTGCCCTGACAAATGGCTTTTCTTTTTTTATTAACTTTTGAAAAAATGTTTTTCTCTTATTTTTATTGTTTTGCTTCTCATTTTGTTTTTTCTATCCCCATTTATTGAAATTTTTAATTGTAGTAAAAGAAAACATAATGTAAAATGTACCCTCTTAACCATTTTTGAGTGTAGCATTAAGCAGCATTAACTATTTTGCCTAATTTTTTATGGAAAAATAAGGATGCTCATTACACATGGGCATAATGTTTACATACCATGGGTATAATAAACTCATGTATAATGTGCACAAAAACATGGGTGCACATTATGCATGGGAGCACATTATACACAACAAAATATCCACGTTGTTGTATAATACATACCTAGAACTTTTTCATCCTGACAAATGGAAACTCTGTATCTATCGAATAACAATTCCCTTTTTCCCCCTCACCAGGTCCTGGAAACCATTATTCTACCTCAAGACTCATTCTTGTTATAGCAAGTGAGGTGAGAAGACCTCCTTTAAAAAAAAAAAATAAGAATTAATAATATCCCATTGTATGTATACACTGTATTTTGTTTATCCACTCACCTGCCCGTAAACATTTGGGCTGCTTCCACTTCTTGGCTATTGTGAATTATGCTGTAGTGAACATGGGCATGTGTAATGACTTTTCACTTTAATTATTAGACTGCCATTCATCTGGGTAGGGAGCCACAGGAAGACCTCTATTTAAAAGAGGGAGGTGGCCTAGAATAAGGAAAAAAGATTCAGACATACAGGGGACTGAAACCCAGTCCTACCATTCCCAGTTCTGGGACTCCATGCAGGCTCACCCCTCTTGAGCCTATTTCCTCCTCACGCTTCGCAGCAGTGTGAGGATCAGACTAAGACAAGCATTACAGAGCCTGGCCCACAGGAGGTGCTCCTGCCCTGACTCAATTTACAGGAAAAGAAAAAACTGAGACTGGGAGAGGGAAGTAACTCTCCTACTCAGTTAATAAGTGGCAAAGTAAGCAGAAGCCTAGTCCAACTGGCTCCAAAGTTCATGGCCTTTTTTCCTATACCATCACATCCTAAATGCCAGTCATGGGATTGTCTCTTCAGTTTTTGTCATATTCTTGCACCACCTGTACTGTTATTGACTTGAGGTTTTTCTTGAAAGCTACTTTAACATATATTCATTTTTAAAAAGTAACCTTATAGCCCTATCATGAATGGAAAATCAGTATCACTTGTTTCAAACAAAAGGTAACTATGAAAATAAATATAAGGACACACAACAAAGTTACTAAATCTAGCTAGATACTATAGCTTCCCTAAAGCTGAAATCTGATCTCTCTTGTTTAGAAAGCCAGTTTAGCCAGTGTTCAGAAAAAGAGGAGCTAAACTAATATTCTCCCTGACACAGTCAGAAATTAAAAGGAAATAACTCTTACCATGTCATTTAACATAAGGCAGGGTGTTGTATCTGGATGTCACCTAAAATCTCCTGTCCTACCTGGTTTAGCTCCGTAGATTCTAACCCCAGCCAGATCCTCAAAATCAAAATCCCTGTTTATCAAGATCCCTGGAGCCCTGACTGGTATGGCTTAGTGGGTTGGCCATCAACCCACAAACCCAGAGGTTGCTGGTTTGATTCCCCATCAGGCACATGCCTGGGTAGCAGGCTAGCCCCTAGTTGGGGCATTCGAGAGGCAACCAATGGATGTTTCTCTCGCACACCAATGTTTCTCTCCCTCTCATTCTCCCTCCTTTCCCCTCTCTCTAAAAATAAATAAATAAAATCATTCTTGAAAAAAAACTTAAAATGTAAGTAAAAATAAATACTTAAAAAAAAAAATCCCTGGAGATTGTGTGTACAGTAATGGTGGAGAAGCTGTCTACTAGGAGAAACTCCATCTACATATGCCACCTCTAAAGTAAACAGTTCCCGAAGTTGATCGAGCACAATTCCCTATAAATCACAAAATTATTTTCAGTAATATAATGAGTTAAATACTTTTAAAAAATCCCTATCCAGAAGTCTGCCAGAACAACCATGGTTTACGGTCCCATTCCATAATGATATGCTTGTTCTTACAGTTCATATGGTGCCCCAAACCAAGAATGTACATACAGTATTTCTGGTTAATGTCACCAACCAACAGCCTGTTCAGAGAATGAAGGGTTTAAATGTTAAAGGCCCATGTTCTGGGGCCCACGCATAGGGCATTCTGTATCAAAAGAAAAATAGTTTAATGAGAAGAAGCAAGGCTGAGAAAAGCTACTGAAAGATACTTCTTGTGAATTATAGCTCAATAAAGCTGTGTTTTTAAAGATATATTTAGAAGATCCAAATCAAATTTTAAGAAGGAAAATGTACAGTACTTGTTTAGAACTTTTTAAAATTCTAACTTTCCCAAATGATTTATTTAGAATTGTTTTCTTTTGAGATTGAGAGGAAAGCAAAGATGCTCACTATAACAGTCTGTGATTACAAAAAGCTGGAAACTTTAATGCCCAATATTAGGGAAAATCTAGTAGTTCAAAATTACTAGACATGAAAACATGGGAAATGGCTCTAAAATGTTAAGTAAACATTGACAATGCAAAAATGGAAGTTACACTTTGAGTACATTATTTAAAAATAGATCTTCAAGTGAACAAGTTTAAGCTGAAATTGCATTAGGATACCATTTTCACAGGTAATCCCTTCCCACAGAATTGTAATAATGTCTGCTTTTCAACTTTAGACACTGCTTTATTAAAAACATTATTTAAGGGGGCTGCCTTTATAATTAAAATTTTTTAACAGTTAAAGAATCTAGTTTAAAGAAATCATCAGGAATGTAGACAAAGGCTTATGCAAAAATAATTATCAAAATATTCTCTGTAGCATTATTTATAAAACTTAAGTATTGAAAGCAGCTTAAATGACAACAAAAAGGGAAATAAGAATTGCACATCCATGAGATAAAATATATTTAGGAATATATTTGCCTTTGAACAATAAAATGTTAACAGTGGTTATTTGTGGGTGGTGGAATTAAGGTGAATCTTATTTAACCTTTTCAGAATTTTCTTCAAAGGAAATTCATTGTTTTTATAATCAGGAAAACATTATATTAAAAAATGCTGGCAAGTGAAGAAACAAGGAAAGAAAAACACTATGTTTTTCTTAGACTAGAATCTGACTTGTTATTGCAGAGCTTGCAAAATCAGTAAGCATTTCTACCAAGAACTATCTTCTTGTGGTTATCTTAAGTAAATTGAGCTGATATTTTATCTTACCTGGATGGAATCTTTTATAATTTACTAGCTAGATTTTTTTTTTGCTTAGGTTATTAAAATGTCTTATAAAGTAATGACTACTGCAATTCACTACACTGCTGGAGCCCGTGCTATGAGCTTTTAGTTTCTGTTTATATCACCCACAAAAGCCCCAAAGCAAGCATTTCCTGAAACCACTGCTGAAGGTGACACGAAGGACTGCCCAGCAGGTAACAGACTGTCAAGTCTCAATTCCCAATAATCTATTACAATTTCTTTTACTAGGAACCACTTCCATTTATATGCTACTCGTATGTTCAAATATGACAAAATACAAGTGTTGCAAATATCTTGCCAAAAGCTTTAAAAATAAAACCACACCTACCACAATGATTACTGGTGCTCTCTAATGCAAACTATGATTTAAATAAAACAGTATGCTAAAGAGAGATCTGCCTATGTGTGAAGAGCTCAAAGTCTGCAATCAGCGTGACAAAGTGAGAAAACACAATGTGTCACCATGATTAACTGAACCTTAAACTTTAACATCCAATGCTTCCATGCAGATGCGTGATGATGAAAAGATGAACTGACTGCAATGGTCTGCCATGAAATACGTGCTAAATGCCTCACCCTTGAAGGTCTGGGAGAAAGACCAGCATGAAGTCACCAAGGAAGAAGACAATATTACCCAACTCAAAGCTTAGTCTTTTAGGCAGGGTCAGAAGAACTTGGAAGACTGGCTCATGTCCCGATTTTGCATATACAGAGCAGAGGGCCAGCGAGGTTGAGTTACTTGCCCCAGGTCACACAGCAAGTGGATGAACTGCTCTTAGAATTCATGCCTCCACCCAATTCCACTGCCTTTTCACACCAGAATTTCCTGGATGGCATAGGCCTTGACCAAGAAATCTTTCTAAGACTCTAAGGAGACACGGTGATGTTAAAAGGCAAACAATGAGCCCACAGGGCAGAGGGAAAACCAAAGCACTTGAATCTTTTGCAATTAGTCAGCAGATGGTATAGGACTTCAGCCACTCTCTTACCCAGTGTAGAGATCACCAGGATCAAGACACAGTTTAGGGCTGAAAGACTCAGAAGGCAAGCCCACAGCTCCTGCCTGCTTCAGCTGTTTCTGCCCTGAAAGAGACTGCTAGGTGAAGAAGTGCAAGAGGTAGCTCATCTTACAAACTGGGAATGGTTGTTGCCTATCAGTCAAGTAACTGACACCTATAGTTACATTAAAATAGCTCAAGGGTTCCTCCTGCAATCCCAATTTCTTCCTTGTTTGAAGTCACTTTTTCATCAGCATTTAAAATTTGTTACTCAACCCTGACTGGTGTGGTTCAGTGAGTTGGGCACCGTCCTGTAACCCAAGGGTCACCGGTTTGATCCCAGGTCAGGGCACATGCCTGGGTTTGCAGCCCAGGTCCCAGTTGGGGATGTGCGAGAGACAACTAATTGATGTTTCTCTCACACGTTGTTTCTCTCCTTCCCTCCTCTCTAAAAATAAAATCTTTTAAATTTGTTACCCACATACAGAAGAGAAAGGCCTTTGCAAAACATCAGGAATGCACTGCCCACCTGGAAAATAGATGAACAAGTGAGTGGCAGAAAGAACAATGGACTTGGGGTGAGCAGATCTGGGGAAGTTATTTGACTTTTCTGTACCTCTATTTTCTTCTTATGGAAAGAGAGAATCATAATAGTACCATGTAACAGGGTTGCTGTGAGGACTAAATGAGACAATATGTATAAAGTGCTTAGAACAGTGCTTGGCTCAATAAATGTTACCTATTCCTAATACTTTCATTATCATTATCATTGCAAAGTCCTAATTTTGCTACTTCTTACCAAACAAGTGCATCACAAGCTTTAATGCACACAGGAAACGCTGGGGGTGGGGGGTGTGTCTTAGTGAAGTGCAGACTTGTTTATTAAAAGTAGGCTTAGATTCTGCATTTCAAATAAGCACCCAGGGTGCCTGAGTGTCTGTCACACAGAACACTTTGAGCAGCAAAGATTTACTTACCCCAGTACTTAGCAGATGCTTAATATTATTGATAAAAATGTATAACCTTTTGGCATCTCAATGTTTCATCTGTAAACCAAGGATAATACATAGTCTACATGATCTCACCTGACTGAACATTAGTAAATGGGAATGCAGATGAAAGAGCATTCTAAATTGCAAACAAAGCTCTGCAAGTAGAATTATGAGTCTTACATTTCACAATGTTGAAATTATAATACTGTTGTAAAGCCTAAATTTACACATGGAAGTATTAGCATATATGAAAAGAAAGCTTGAATTCCCTTGCTCCATTCAAAAATCCTCTAGGAATTCTGGCAGAACACAACGGCTGTTCAAGGGATTCCCAAATCAAGAGTTCTGAAACTTTAGAAATGTCATTCGGTGGCCAAGGAAAGAACCACTTTGGCAGGGAGAGCGTGGCCATCGAAGGCACCAGCAGCAAGCTTCCCTCGTCATTCCGTTTTCTCTCCCAGAGCTGGCCGGCCTCCTCCCAGCCTTCGTCGGCCAAGATCTCGAGTCAGCACAGCAACGCCAACAGCACGAGACAGATGGACACTAGCCTGGCAAAGCCCACACCTGCCACTCCGCTAGCTGGCAAAGAGCTAGGCTGGGAGGAAAGAAGGGCTCGCAGAGGTCCAAGGCAGAGCCTTCAGTGAGAAGCACCTGGCCAGCTTCCTGCGATGCAGCCTGGGGTTTCCTCTCCGCAGACGAAAAGATTCAATGTTTATACCTTGTGCCTCTCCTCCAAGGAGTTCGGAGTGAATCACAGCTAATTCTTCCTCACAGGGCACTTTACCAAAAAGTCCTGTCTTCATTTTAGAGGCAGATGGCATCACCGCCATCTACCCAATTGCTCAGGCCAAAAACCCAGGAGTCATCCTTGATTCCTTCAGCTCACCACCCCCAACCACCATCCTTCTGGTTCTGCCTCCAAAACACATTCACATACACTGTCTCCACGGCCACTGCCCTAGAAGGCTGCCCTCATCCCTCACCATGCTTCCTAACTACTCTCCTGGCTGCCATTCTTATGACCCTTAAAAGTCACTGGCCACACAGAGGCCAAAGTGATGTAAAAAAAAAACCAACCCAAAAATAGACCACACCACTCCCCTTCTTAAAGCCTTCACTGGCTTCCCATTGCTTTTCCTCTAGCCTACAAGGCTCCTGCCCCATCAGCTCTTCATTCTCCCATACGTCCTCCCCACTCACCTGTTCCAGCTACTCTGAGTCTTCTTTCAGTTTCCAGAACTTACCAAGCTTGTTCCCACTTGAGAGCCTTTAACCTTGCTGTTCCTTCTGCTATGTTTTCAAATGGCTGGGCCCTTTCTGGCAGTAAATCTCAGCAAAAATGTCCCACCTTAAAGAGGCCTTCTCTGACCACCCAATTAAAGTAGCAGCCCCTCAACCTCTTCGAGAAGTTACTCTCTGTGACATCACTGTTGTATTGTTTTCATGCTACTTATTTCTATCACAGTACCTTATTCATCTATTGGTTTATTTTTCTGTTGCTGCTACTAGAATGCAGGCTGCATGAGAGCAAGCTCTTCATCTACCTTGCTGCCATCACATCCCCAGGCTAGAACTGGGCCTGACACATACCAGGTGCTCAGCAAATGTTGAGTAAATGAAATTGAGGCAGCACAAGGGCAAGAGCACTGAACTGGGAGTCTAAAGACCTGGATTCCAATGTGAAACAGGCCACATTCTAGCAGCATAACCTACCTTCCTTCCTTCCTTCCTTCCTTCCTTCCCTTCCCTTCCCTCCCCTCCCTTTCTTCCCTTCCCTCCCTTCCTTCCTTTTAAAGATTTATTTACTTATTATTTTTTTTAGAGAGAAGGGAAAGGGAGGGAGGAAGAGAGGGAAAGAAACATCAATGTGTGAGAGAAACATCAATCAGTTGCCTCTCGCAGGCCCCCAAACAGGGGTCCTGGCCTGCACCAGACATGTGCCCTGACTAGGAATTGAACAGGCAACCTTTCGGTTAGCAGGCCAGCACTCATTCCACTGAGCCACATCAGCCAGGGCAGCATGTCTTTTCTTACCCCCTGTCCTTTGAGTGTAAAATGGGGGGGTCTCCATCTGTACCTTACCTTCCTTGCCCAGTTACTGGTAAGATCAAATGAGTAAAGGCATGATTAAGCATTTTTGTAAACCATTAGGTACATAAATAGAGCATTGTATTGTTTTTATTTTCTTAATCCTCACCCAAGAATACATTTTTATTGGTTTTAGAGAGAGGGGAAGGAAGAGAGAGAGAGAGAGAGAGAAACATCGATGTGAGTGAGAAACATTGACCAGTTGCCTCTAGTACGTGCCCTGAACCCGCAGCCTTTTGGTGTAGGGGACAACACTCCAACTAACAGAGTGACCCAGCCAGGGCAACAGAGCATTATATTATTAACCAGCACAAGAGAAGGCTCTTTCTCAGGGACCCATACATCAGTGGATGAAAAGGCTTAGAGAGGAAACTGAGGCTTCTAATCCAGGCACCCAACGGAAGCCAAGGGACACAAAAGAAGAGATCTGAACCAGCAAATATAAGAAGTCATTTAAAGAAGTCAAATTGCGCTGACTGGTGTGGCTCAGTTGGTTGGGCATTGTTCTGCAAAGTGAAAGGTCGCCAGTTTAATTCCCAGTTGGAGCACATGCCTGGGTGAGGCCCAGTCCCTGGTTGGGACGTGTGCGTAGGGTAGCTGATCGATGTTTCTCTCTCACATCAATGTTTCTCACCCTCACTGTCTCCCTCTCTTTGTAAAAATAAATAAATAAAATCTTTTTTTTTTTTTTTTTTTTTAAAAAGGAAGTCAAATCATTTCAAGTGCTAGCCATTTGTTAATTAATCTCTGAGGTCCTTGCAGGATAGGGAGATTGGACTGACCTCCATATCCTCCACTGTGCCGGACATAGAGGGATTAAGTAAACATTTAATGAATTGGAAGTCAAACCACCAACCCAGGACGGCACCCTACAAACACCTCTTATCTTCCTCTGCAACTCCTGGTGCGGGATGGCAGGTTTCTGGGACAACCCTGTAATAATGCTGTCATTTGTATAGTACTGCCACAGCCACTCTTTCAAGCTTGCAATGAGCTTGTGAGGTTGACCAGAGCTGGTATTACCAGCACACACTTTAATTCATTCATTCACCAATCATAAATAGAATATTCAAGTACTATGTTAAGCCTACATAACAATAGCTAATGTTTACTAAAATTGCCAGGCATTTTACCTGTATTAGCCTCAAATATATCCTTACAATAGTCCTACATGGTGGACACTATTATTCCCATTTTATAGATAAGGATACTGCAGCACAAAGAGGTGAGGTAAACTGCTCAGTGGAACACAGCTTGGAAGGGGCAGTGCCACGGTCTGAACCCAGGCAGCCTGGTGCTCTGCTTTAAACCACAAGCATGCGACCGGAATTGTGTAACGGCACTGAGAGGTCCTTCAGATATCATCTAGCTTGCTGCTCTTATTAAAGAGGAGGAGACTGAGGGACAGAGAAGGCCCCTTTCAAACAGTCCAGCTCTTTTTGAGGCTCACACTTTGGATGGTATCTATTTAAATGAAGCTCTATGTAAGATCTTATTTCTTTGCCACTGGCAGACAAGCCTCTAGCGGTAGCAGTTTGAGTAACAAAAGAATCCCCCTGTGGCTTGGTCATAGTTACTGTTGAGAAATCAGGAACATCAGAGTCTGTGGGAGAAAATACAGGATTTACCTGGAAACGTGTCCTGCTCCATCACTCAATAGGCATAAGATTCTTAGGCAAGTCATTCACTTTTCTGAGCCTCAGCTTCCTCATCTGTGAAATGGAGATAACATCACCACCTACCTGGCAAAATCTATGTGAAGATTAAACGAGAGAGTTTACCTGAAAAGTTCTTCTTAATCATACTTGTAAATAGGTTTTCCATGTTAAGCACTTTCCAAAAGATGTAAGATACCCTTTTCTTCTGGAAAAGTCAACAAGACCCAAGCAGAAAATAAGATCATCACCTTGGCATCTACAAAGACTTGAGCGCAGGGCTTCCCACATCAGAGCCACTCGCAGAAGTCCTCATCACCTCCCGCGCTCCGAGCAGCGGGATGGGGAATGAAAGCTGGGAACGGGGGATGTCAACAACAGCGGGAGGAATGCCCACATGAGCTGGCAGTCTACACCTCCGAATCTCACCTGCCTCACAGTCATCTCCTGGAAGCCTTGCCCAAGCCAACCCACATGCTTCCTAATAGCTTGCTGAGCACTTACTCTGTGCCAAGCTACTTGAAGTACTCTGTCTCCCTGGATTCCCACAGTGGTTCATTAACAGTTTACAGATAAAGAAAAGGCTCAGAGATTAACTTGCCCAAGGCCACACAATTACTAAGTGGAAATGTTGAGTCGCAAACTCACTCAGACTTCAGACTGGACACTTGGTCCTCATACTGGGGTGTCCTACGAATTCTCTCTCCCCTTTTAGGGCACTTTCAACATACACACCTCATCATCTTAACCACTCTGAGCGGTAGGCCTTAGGAAATCCTTGGCCAAACAGGTCAACAGAGGCCACAGAGGGGAAGGGGACTTGCCCAAGGTCACGGACTGAGCTGGGGCAGCGCCGAGGTTCGGACTACAGGCTTTGGCTTCCCCATCTCCCCCGAAGCTGGGTCCCTGACCACAGCCCCAGACCCTCCAGGTGGACCCTGACCCCTTACCGCAGGGTCTGGCCGCACCTCCACCCGGGGAAGGAGGGGCGCGGCCGCCCTTACAGCGGGAGGATGCCCGGGAGGCAGGGCAGAGGATGCTCCCGCTCCGGGAGTAGCGAAGCCAGGCGGCGGCGCCAGCGCGAGCCTCCGGGAAGATCCCCGGAGGCAGAAGGCGGAGGCCCTGCCCCGCGGATTCCTGGGTTCCTCCGCGACTCACCTGCGGCGCCAACTGAAAGCGGGCGGCGACGGCAGGGACGGCGGCGAATCCCGGACTCAGCCATTCCCGGCTGCCCCGGATGGGGAGAGACCACGGCCGCTCACTTCCTTAGCAACTCGGCTCGCCGACCCACTTCCTTAGCAACCAGTGTCAATTTCAATAACTTTATTGGGATACGAACAGCGGACCACGAAAGCCTGCGGGGCGGGGCGGGGTGGGGTTGGCTCAGTATTGGCTCCTAGAAGGTGCCCAACAGGCCTTGGTCTTTCGCCCACCTAAGGGGTGTGAGGAGAGAGCTATGTGACCTGAGTCCAGCAGTGCCTCGGTTTCCCCATCTGTAAAATGGTATGCACTGCCGTGGTCTCCGCACGCGACTTCAGCCACAGTTCGACCTTTCCTAAAGCACTTTCACATCAAACAGCTCTCAAACTGCTACTGAGATCCCATTTAGGGTCCACCCGGTCAGTCAAACCAAAAACTGGAATCATTCTTGTCCCTTCCCTCTCCCTCACTCCCCACATCCAATCAGTCAGCATATCGTCAGCATATCCCTTATTCTACCTCTCAAGTACTGCTCCTGTCTGTCCACCTTTTCCCATCTTCAGTGCCACAGCACCAGGCCAGGCCAGGCCAGGCCGGTTCCGGTCATCTCTAGACTGCTTGCAATATATGCCAATTCTTATGGCCTTAGACAAGTTGCTTTCCCTTTCTGGGCCTCAGTTTCTTCATCCACAAATTGGGCATGAGTCCTGCTGGATGACCTCACAGAATTCTTGTAGGAGAGGTGATCGTGTAGTGAAATAGAATGGAATGTAGGGAAATAGCCACGTAGGAGAAGCACAGTGATTATGCTCAAGGGCAACTAAAGATTCCATGTGGGAGTTGGGGGATGTGGGGTAAGGGAGTCAGGCAGATCTGAGTTTGGGTCTCAACTCTGCCATTAACAGCTGTGGGGTCTTGGGCAAGACACATGCTTTCTCACAGCCAGTGAGTATTGGGTCCAAGAAGCACAGCGTGGTTTCAAAGTTCATGACATTAAGAGACAGTCAGATGTGGATTTGAAATCCAACTCTGCCATTTATCAGCCATGTATGACCTTTTGACCTTTTGGCTTTTTCCAAGGAGCACTGAAAGTAAAGGAATTCAGACATGACCAGGCACGTTCAGGGTAGTATGGCCGTAGGCTGAAAGTAAAGAAATTCAAAGGCACATTCTTGACCAGTAAGAAAGTGTGATCAGGGGGCAAAAAGAGAGAGCACATGGGTGTGAGAAGCAGACAGATATTCCACAGGTATAAGGTGGTGGTCTGGGCTGAGGAGACCAAGAGGAAGGCCATGGGAGAGCTGAAAGTCACAGGAAGAACATTCAGGAGTACTTACAATGAATTAAGCACATCAATCCTTACAATCGCTGAGTATGAAGATACTATTATCATCCCCATCTGTAGGGTGGCCAAGGTTATGTCATCGCCACATGAATCCAGAGCCCACACTCTCTCCTCTGCCTACAGTCAGGTGACCTCAGCTCGGTCTCTTCATCTCTCTTAATTCTCCTGCAAATATTGGGTGTGTGTCTACAGCAGTAAAAGAAAAAAAAACAAAACAAAACCCAAAAATCTCTTCTCCATCTCTCCAGAGGCTGCCAGACTCATGAAGAGGAGACACAAACTCATGATTTCGGCTCAAGGTGAGGCCTGTGCAAGCATGTTCAGCACATCAGTGACTGGGGGCAAACATAATTTTTGGTTATCCCTGTCCCTGTCCACAGCCCATCACCCAGAGGAATAGGCTGGAGGCCCCTCCTGCCCACACGGGTCCACCTCTCAGCTGGCTGAATGGTATTTCTCTCTTCTCCCTGGCTGGGCTCCATGAGCTTGCCAGACTCTCTGTGCCTTTGTTGCAGGGGTGCTCCCCACCTGGAATGCTCTCTCTCCCCAGGACCCTTCTCTCCACACATACATGACATATTTCTGTTCATCACCCCCTATCCAAAAGTAAGATCCTGCAGACTTCCTCTGTCTGCTGGCTGAGTTTTGTCTCAGCCCTTTGTCTCAAAGGAAAATGATGTATGTTCTGGCACCTAAGGGGAAAATGTGACCTGCACTTCTATCAATTAAAAACAAAGTCCCCCAAACCTTGGAATGTACCTCAACCACTTTTCAAAAGTTACCCTCATAGACAGAGCTGGAATTAGTGGATCGAAGCCCCAGGGAGGCCCTCATTATAGTTGTCATTTTATTTATTGCATTTGTTTAGCACTGCATATATTATTGATAAATATTAGTCCATTGTTTATTTGTAAATTGTCTTTATTTATAGCTCTGTATTTATTGCTGTGCCGTGTGTGCCAGGCACTGAGGTAAGTGCTTGAGAGCCCATCTGACTTATCACATAGCTGCCTCTTTAAGAGATAAAAACTATTATTATCCCCACTTCACAGAGAAGAACTGAGGCTCTAAATAATTACCCAATGAGTAAGTGGCAGAGCCAGAGTCAAATCTGTTCTAACTCAACTTCAAAGCCCGTGACTTTGGCATTTTCTGGACTCACAAACTGGTGGTCTGTGGGCAGAATCTAATGGCAGTTGTGTTTTGTTTAGCCTGCTATGTTTTATAAAATAGAGAATTAATTGCCACCATTTAAAAAACCAGAAGATTTCCCATATACATTGGGATTTCCAGCCTCTCTTGAAATAAAAGAGTTGGGAGTTCCCACAGGGCAAGAATTGCCTGGAATGAGTAGCAGCTGCCCCTGTTGACCTGGATGTGTGAGTTTCACTTTCCCTTATGCTCCCCAGCTCCACACCAACCTGACCCATGCATTTTTCTTGCCTCCCTGGCTCTTGGAAGCATTTGAGTTTGTGATTCCTGGGTCCACAATTTCTAATCATTGGAATTGCTTTGCCAATGTAGTGAGATCCCCATCACTGGAGATGTGCAAATTGAGACTAGTTGACTACTTGGTAGGGTGTTGGAAGGGGATTTCAAGAGGCAGTTGGGGAACTGGATCAGATATCATATGTAATCCTTTCAAGCCCTACAGTGCCAAATATTTACTTAAGACTTTGCAGTATATATTATTAACAACTAACTTTCCCTCTGGTCTCAATTTACTACTTCAACCTTCTTTTCAGCTACCTCAATTTCCCTTCACCGTGGTTCCTTGATTGATCTATTCATATATATTTTTTAATCATACGATTATGCTGTATAAATTCTTGTAAGCTTCTTCAAATCCTTTTTGAAGTAAGGCATGGGGAACAAATAAAGCCATAAATAAATATTTCCATAAAGGGCTTGGCTCCAGGTAAAGAAAAGAAACAAAAGAGAATTATAAGTTGTAACTGCCAAGTTATCTCAGCTTCCTGAGATGCTCAGGCTCAAGGAGATAAAGAACAGAAGGCCCGCCCTGGCTGGTGTGGCTCAGTGGCTCAGTTAGTTGGAGTGTTGCCCTGTCACCAAAAGGTTGCAGGTTTAGTCCCTGGTCCAGGTGCATATGGGAGGCAACCTGCTGATGTTTCTCTATCACACTGATGTTTCTTTCTCTCCCTTCCTCTCTCTCTCTCAAAGCAATGAAAAAAATGTCCTCAAGTGACAATTAAAAGAAGAAAGAACAGAAGGACCTAAGAATCTTGGAAGCAGCAGCTATAAGCCTGTGCCTCAGTGCTCCCAATCCACTGTCTCAGGAAAGGCAGCCTCCAAATTTTACTTCCCATTCTTTATTTAAAATAGATTTAAAAATCACATTACAAACTGTGATTTTAAATAGTCACAGGTTCCTTGACACCCCTCCCATCGGGAGGGAGAATTTATGTGTTCTTTCCTCAAATCTGAGTAGACTGGTGGCTGATTAAACCAATAGAATATGGCAGAAGTAATGCTACGTGACTTCAGATATTGGGGTCATTAAAAAACAGTTTTCCCTGGTCCTCTTTCCACACCCTTCTTCCTGGGACACTCCCTCTTGGAACACAGCTTCCGTGCTGTGAGGAAGAGCAAGCCACACTGAGAGGCCATTTGCAGGTGTTCCAGTCAATGGCCCTCTCTGAACCCAGGTGCCACAAATGTAGTCACTCAAGCAATTTTAGTCTCCCAGTTTAGGCTCCAGACATCATGGAGCAGAGACAAGTCAATTCTACTGTGCCCTGTCCAAATTCCCAACTCACTGAATCTGTGAGCAGAATAAAAAGATTGTTGCTTTATACCACACAGTTTGAAATGGTTTGTTATCTAGCAACAGAAAATTAGAACAGTGATCCAGTGATTCAAACCATACAGAAATTATAGTGCAAAAGTGGTTAGTTTCCTTTCACAACATTTCATTCCATTTCCCTCCCAGAAGTAATACGGTTAACAATATACCCTTTTGGACATTTTTCTATACATTTACATAATAGAAATATATAGTTTTTGTGTTTTTTATTTACATGAGATTCTAGAAAAAGGTAACTTGCTTATTTCTATTAATAATACATCTCAGTGACCTCTTTAAATTTACAAAATAACTTGAACTGGTAATCCTTTCACATTCTGTGGTAGGCAGCTTCCAAGATGACCCTCAGTGACCCCCACTGTATTCAAATCCTTATATAGTCTCCTCCCACATTAAACCAGCAATGGCTTGTATGATTGAAAGGGTTCCTGAACCCAATTTCAAGGGTGTGTGTGTGGGCTTCCTTACATCAATAAGCCATTCTCAAATATCAAGAGATGTCTAAGAATTCAACTCAATTCTGACACTATCTATCCAGAGACAGAATCAGATTCCACAGGTAAAAGGCTCGGTCCCACAAAACCACCCTCCACTTCAGAGGCTACTAAATGGGATGTTCCAATAACCCTCTCCTGGGGTTCGGTTAATTTGCTAGAACAGATCACAGAACTCAGGAAAGCCAGTTTACTCATTAGATTACCGACTTATTACAAAGGATATTAAAGGATATGTCAACAGCCAGAAGAAGTGATGATGTGAGGTCCCAAATAAAGGAGCTTTTGTCCTTGTAGAGCTTGGGGCCCCACAAGGTGGCACATGGAACCATTCTGGGTCCCCAACCCAGAGGTACTCTGAACCCACCCCCTGTTG